GACGGAGAAGGAAGGACACACTACTCTTAAGGCTGCAGTGAGATGCTTGCGAGGGTTAGGAAGTCATTCCAGGACTGCAGGGATACGGCAAAGAAGGGAAACGACAAGAACTGCGTGGCCGCCTGAAGGCGGCCGAGAAAGGAAGAGTGTGAGACAACGGGGCAGCAGAGACAGGCCTGAGCAGAGCACAGAGAGACATCACAGAACTGCAGGCGGGGGCTTGAGGAAGGGCCAGCAAGAAAATTGCTGCCCTTCCAAAGATGAACTGAGCAAGGACAGCAGAGCAAAACAGGACTCCAGGCAGAGGGCTGAGGAAGACACCAGGGCCATCTTCAGGGCGACAGAAGAAAGGGCCCAATCTGGGACCAGAAAGGATGGGCAGGCACCCGGCGAGAGGCTTGCAGAAATAAGGCCCAGGCAGAATGTCTCGAACTGCAGGCAGAGGGCAGAGGAAGGCACAGGGAGAACTCGCAGGACTGCTGGGAGAGGGCCTCGGGGGCGACCTGGACCAAAATCTTGGGCCGCGGGGGAACCACGGAGTAAGAAAGGAGGTGGCCACACCAGAGGCCCAGGAAGCGGGCTCAGGAAGGGGCTGGAGCCGACTTGCAGGTCTGCAGGGAAAAGGCGGAGGAAGGTTTAGGAAAGCATAGGGCGGCAGACAGAGGGATGCAAACGGGAGAAAGTGGACGTTCTGGCCTCACACGCGGACAGCTGAGTCAAGGCTAAGAAAAATGCAGGACCGCCGAGAGAGGGTTGGGGAAGGGACGGCGTCGATTCCCCACGGCTGCCTGGACAGGCCTGGGGACGCACGGACACGGGGACCACTTGCAGATCTGCAGGGACTGGGCTTCGTAAGGGAAAAGGTGGACATTTCGGGCCTGCCCTGACAGGGCTCAGGCGGGGCCAAGGAGACCCTCGGAGGCTGCGGTAAGAGGGCTGACAAAGAACGGGGAGAAAGTCCAGGGCTGCCTGGACGGGGCTGAGGAAGGCACACAGGCAGCAGTTCCTGCGCTGAGGCAAGAGGGCTCAGTCAGCCTACACGGCGAAACTGCATGGCTTGAGGGAGAGGGCTGAGTCAGGGTGGAGTCCACACAGGCACGCAGGGGCGATTAAGGGACACGGGAGAATTTGAGGGGTAGCTGGAAAAGAGCTGACAAAGTGAGAAGGAGATCCTTTGAGGGCTGTCAGGAGAGGCCTTCGTCGTGTTCACAGAAAAATCTCGGGCTGCGGATAGACGGCTGAGTGCGGGTTCAAGAAGAACATCGGGGCGTGCGGGCAGATGCCTTTGTCGGGAAACGGGGAGAGCTCTCCCGACCGCACGCAGAAGACGGTGTGTGAGGAAGGAGAAAGACGGGGCTGCACGACGAGGGCTGAGTTCAGGGTCGCGGACAGGTGTTCGGGCTTCAGGGACACGGCTGAGTCAGCACGGGCAAAATGCCAGGGTTGCAGGTTCGGGGTCCAAGACGGAAGAAGGCAAATTGCAGGCCTACACCAAGAGGGCTGCGGAATGTCCAAGTCGAATACGCGAGGATTCGCAGAGAGCGCCGACCGAGGCCTAAGGAGAGATGATTCAGGCGTGCACGGAGGGCGCCCAGTAGAAGACTCGTCTGGGAAATCGTCTGGGGATGCAGAGGGATGGCTGCCGAGGAGGCTAGGGTGCCATGTTACCGCTGCGGGCGGAGGGCCGAGGAAAGCCCAAGAGCCACGTGCGGGGTTCAGAACGACGATCGGTAGGTTCAGGGGAGACTCTGCAGCGCAGCTGCACGAGGACTGAGCGAGGGCAAAGGAGAAAATTCAGCGTGGCAGGGAGACGGCTGCTCGAGTGGCAGGGAAGATATTTCAGGGCCCGGACAGCGGACGGGGTGAGAACGGGAAAGCAATTCCGGGGCTTCCGGGAGAGGCCGACTGAGGGGCCAGGAAGAAATGCAAGAGGGAAACGTGCGCAGCACGTGTGCTCAAGTCAATCTCTTTGCCTCGTGCACGAGAGATCCGCCTGATGGCCACCGTGAGGCCGAGCACTGTCCTAAACACAGATTGGTGCCGTCGGAGAGGGCCTGGCCTCTCTGCTCAGAACCCCCTTGGGAACGATTCGGAAAGAGGTCACGGGCATTCGGAAATGCGTTGCAAGGCCACTCGCTGACCAAGTGGAGGAAGAGTTTGCCAGGGAATTTCTTCTGGGCCTTTGGAGACTCCAAACAATGACTGACTATACTCTGCTGACACAGGTGAGCGATTGGCTTTCGGTCCGGTCACCGAAATGTCCAAGTCGAATACGCGAGGATTCGCAGAGAGCGCCGACCGAGGCCTAAGGAGAGATGATTCAGGCGTGCACGGAGGGCGCCCAGTAGAAGACTCGTCTGGGAAATCGTCTGGGGATGCAGAGGGATGGCTGCCGAGGAGGCTAGGGGGCAATGTTACCGCTGCGGGCGGAGGGCCGAGGAAAGCCCAAGAGCCACGTGCGGGGTTCAGAACGACGATCGGTAGGTTCAGGGGAGACTCTGCAGCGCAGCTGCACGAGGACTGAGCGAGGGCAAAGGAGAAAATTCAGCGTGGCAGGGAGACGGCTGCTCGAGTGGCAGGGAAGATATTTCAGGGCCCGGACAGCGGACGGGGTGAGAACGGGAAAGCAATTCCGGGGCTTCCGGGAGAGGCCGACTGAGGGGCCAGGAAGAAATGCAAGAGGGAAACGTGCGCAGCACGTGTGCTCAAGTCAATCTCTTTGCCTCGTGCACGAGAGATCCGCCTGATGGCCACCGTGAGGCCGAGCACTGTCCTAAACACAGATTGGTGCCGTCGGAGAGGGCCTGGCCTCTCTGCTCAGAACCCCCTTGGGAACGATTCGGAAAGAGGTCACGGGCATTCGGAAATGCGTTGCAAGGCCACTCGCTGACCAAGTGGAGGAAGAGTTTGCCAGGGAATTTCTTCTGGGCCTTTGGAGACTCCAAACAATGACTGACTATACTCTGCTGACACAGGTGAGCGATTGGCTTTCGGTCCGGTCACCGAAATGTCCAAGTCGAATACGCGAGGATTCGCAGAGAGCGCCGACCGAGGCCTAAGGAGAGATGATTCAGGCGTGCACGGAGGGCGCCCAGTAGAAGACTCGTCTGGGAAATCGTCTGGGGATGCAGAGGGATGGCTGCCGAGGAGGCTAGGGGGCAATGTTACCGCTGCGGGCGGAGGGCCGAGGAAAGCCCAAGAGCCACGTGCGGGGTTCAGAACGACGATCGGTAGGTTCAGGGGAGACTCTGCAGCGCAGCTGCACGAGGACTGAGCGAGGGCAAAGGAGAAAATTCAGCGTGGCAGGGAGACGGCTGCTCGAGTGGCAGGGAAGATATTTCAGGGCCCGGACAGCGGACGGGGTGAGAACGGGAAAGCAATTCCGGGGCTTCCGGGAGAGGCCGACTGAGGGCAGGCCGACTCAGGGGGAAGGGCGCTGGGCTCCCCGCCTCCGGACCGCCCCCCACCGTCGGGCGGATTGGTCCACAAGCGGGCCCACAGAAGGCAGGGGGCGCCCCGGCCCCCTCCCTGTGCCCCTTCGAGTCCCTAAAATGTCCATGCAGAGTTTCGTTGGACGGTGGTCCCCCAGGGACTCTCTCTGTTGTCATTAGACAGATAGACTGCGTGCGGAAGGGTGAACTCTTGATGTTTACTTAAGTGTTGACTTACACGCCCTCCTAAGGTATAGGATTGTACTGTCTTTGGCTGAGACAGCCAGCCTCTCAGGGTCAGGGTTCCAAGCCACATTCAGGAAACAGAGAGTAAAGTGTATGTTAGGACTGTGGGAACGAGACACAGGCATGTGGGAAGGCAGTGAAGATGGGACTTTGCCTTGAAGTGAGGTCAGCAGGTGAAGTGATAAATTGCCTGGGAGGACGATGCAAAGCCGGACTTGCTCATATCAGTATGGCTTCATGTGAAGTCCATTGTATTTCTAGCGTCTCATTTTAGGTCCAAGGGAGTGGAGGGGTGGGGGTTTGGGGGTAGGGCAGGGCGTTTCAATGGCCACATTACTCACTCATGTGTTCTGTGTCCCACAATGAGCCAGTATTCCTATTTTTGGAGAGGCAGAGGCCTTTTACCCCACACCACACGTCAGGTAAAGATTTCATCATGCATCATCCCAGGATTCTCTCTGAGTCATGTGCAAATCAGATCCTTCATAAGATTCTCCATCCCTGATGAACTGTCTGACATTCCTTAGGCTCCTTAGACTCCCCCTCACACTCAATAATTCAATGTCCAACAGCCTTTTACAGATTGAGGAAGCTTTGACCTCCATGTGCACGAATCCTAATCTCCCCTGCAAACAGCACTACAGGACATGGCAGTGGAAGACCTATAACCCATCCTGCACAGTTCCAGGCAGTTGAGAGGCCTTGACAGACAGGCTTGACTCACTCTGCCTGGCATCCCCACAGTGAGAATGTAACATGACTTTCCCACAGATGGATTTATATGTGGGAAGAACTCCTTGCAGCTCCCATGGCCAGCCCCTACAATGTATCTTAGGGTAAACGCAAATATTTTCCAGTTACCTTACAGGTCACAGCAAGTAGGCAAATTTCCGCAGGCCCTGCCGACTTCTGAACTGGCCTAGGTACATTTTTTCCTTGAAATTTTTACCCTTTGCATAATATTTATTTCAATTAAGTTTTTACATGAATAATTAAATATGTTATTGCCATTCATATATTATTAAATTCCTTTTCCAGTAAAATGTTTTGTGTCTTCTTAGGAGTCATAGGGGATTTTATACTAATTTTTGCGTGAGTGTGTTGTGTTGCATACTATAGGAGTTATTTGCAATATTAAAATTTGAGTGAGGTATGTGCTCAAATTCCAAGAAGATTTCATTTTTGTTGATGTTTGAAACTTTTATTTACTTTAAACAAATTTGATGTTTTTTTATGTTAAAAATTTAATAGTTAGAATCCTCTGAATTTTGAGAACATTTAATCAACGTGTATGTTCATGTTACAAACAGAAAGCAGTCATTATTGACCTAGAGTGTCTTTATTAAAAGAATATCTAGAAGATCCAATCATGCATGAATTTGTTTTTGACTATATGTTACTTATGTCTCATGTTACACATTTTGAAAATACCAGCAATGCCTTTCATAGTCACTGGATTACAAAAGACTCTGAAGTACAATAATCATTACACAAGAAAATGACAGTGTGTTTGGCTGTTTTAGAAGTCCAGCTGACTTGGGCTTTTCCATCCAAGGCATGAGGGCCTGGTTTATGGGATGACCAGCTTTTGCAGAGGTGGTTAATATCCAGGAGAAGTATGGCCTCACAATGGTAGCTAGGTCCTTCAGACTTGTGAGGCCTATTTGTCTCCAGCTGCCATTGCCAGATATTGGTCTGCACATAACAGCACTGCCTGGACTCACTGGCTCCTGTGAAGTCAAAGAGAGAATTTAGACTCAAGTCACTATCTCAATGTTTTACTTAATCCTAGACTTTGTAAAATGGGCAGTAAGAGAAAGTATTCTCGAGAGAGGGAGACTTCAAATAGGTACATTAAAAAAAATCATCATTACCAAATAGATTCCTATCTAGGCAACATTACAAATAAAATCCTGAGAATTAGTTTATAAAGAGGTCATTCATAAAACAAAAAATAAAAAAGATTTTTATAGTGGATTCTGAGGAGCAAGAATTCAAGTTATAAGAGAGAGAATTCTATAAAATGCCTATTTGTTTGGAGAGCACCAAGACAGCTCTTAAGTGTGGTTAGAGAAGAGCTAATGTCAGATAAACCAGAGATTAGTAAAATCTATTTTTGAGAAAGTTTGTTCTGTATTTAAAAAAAATTATTCCCTACTGAATGAGAATTTTGTTTCTTATAATTTATGGATGGGTAGTCTATACATCCATATATAGAGAGAGAATATTATAGCTTCTATCAATTATAATTAGAAATTTTAAAACAGAGCTGCTCACCACATTTGTGACAGAGCCTTTGGCCTCAGTCATAAAGCAGACAGAAGAACTGCCTATATCAGGGTAAAGGTATGCACAGCTTGAAGCTCCTGTCACCTGCATCTGTAACATTTCTGGGTTCTCATCTGTCTGCCCTAAAACAACAGATGGAAAATAAAAGTCCCAAGAGACATTTGTAATATTAAAACACCAATTGTTGAAATAAGATTATGATCATCATTATAAATTATTGTCTAACTTTTTATGCTAAGAAGTTTTATTTTCTTATTACTACCATTTCCATCTTACCCCAAAAATTTATCAATTCCAATACTCTCCCTCACTTTTTAAATGCTTCTCTTCATACTAAACAAGTCTATTTTTATTTGTAAAATTAAAAATTTCAATTCGCATCCAGTTTAATTTCCTTAAATAAGTACAAACAAAACAAACCCAACCCTCTTTTCCTTTGTTCTAATGTTAGCATAGAGTTGGAATACAAATTATTTCTACCTTTTTTGTGAAACTTGACTATGCACAGAAAGATCTCCCTTGCATTATTTTTCATCTGTAAAATCCTAGAGTCATCATGAAAACCATCATTTTACAAAACACAAATAACTCTCAGAGCATATCTCTGACTTGTACAAAACTTTAGAATTAGTAATGCAGAAAACTGTGATTAGAGTTCTTACTGGAATTGCAGTATCAAAAATATGGATGCTTTATATCACTAGTTTTAAAACTACTGCCCTAACAAGCAAGTAAGTACTGACCTGGTTTAAGAATTCGTGGCCCAGAAAGCCAGCATTCGGAGCTGTTCAGGTTTTTCATATGGCCCAAAGGTGCCAAGAGCTGAATGGGAGTCTGGACTTCTTGAAGGAGCAGCAATGCTAGATCATTTCTTGCTGCCCCACTCACCAACCGGAATCTTTCATGCAGTAGAATAGTAGATACCTTAACAACTCTCAGAGGTGCCCCAGGGTGCCTCAGGCCCAGTATTACAGCAGTGTCTTCAGGATTCCTGTGTGAGTAGTTAGAGAATAATTAGAATAGATTCACTAGGAAATATGAGCCAGTAAAAGCCACCATATAAGGCTTTCCAAAGTATTTTCTTAGCCACAATGCACAACGTTCCTACTCTGCAACAGGGAAACCAGAAGTCTATGAATAAAGTCAAACACACAACCAATTTTTACAGAGGCATTATCTATCAGAGGTATCGATATCCAAATACACTAAGGGAAATTTCTTAGCCTGAATTAAAGATGTTAAGGGGATAAGAGAGATGGTTCAGGTATAATATTAAGTGAATTTATCCAAAGAAATCTTCAGCAAAGTAATTTGGAGATACTGAATTATGGTGTATTGGAAGAGATAAGATGCAAACTTACATATTCCTGACACAGTGGGCAGCAGTGAGAACCCAAGAGTTGCTAACAATAGAACCACTACAAATTTGACTGCCACAGCTAATGATCATGGCCTGCCAAGGCATGGCATACCGCAGAGAAATCCGATCTGCCAAAGCTGAGAAAAAAACAGTAAAGGTAAATTCATCAGAATTGTTATCCTTGATCCATATTTCTGCATCCCCCTCACCCTGCCCCCTGCTCAGCTTTGCTGATACATAATTGACACGCAACATTCCATAAGATCAAGGTGTACAACAGGATAATTGATAAACATATATAATGCACAATAACTACATCAATAACTTTAGTGAATATATCTATCACCTCACCTCACACATTTGTGTGCATGTTGAAAACATTTACGATCTACTCACTTAGCAACTCTGAAGTATGCAGTAGAGTATTATTAACTATAGTTAATATGCTGTATAAGTGGTCCCCAAAATCATGCATATTAAAACTGGATGTTTGTACCCTTTGATCACAATCACCCACTTCCACCATCCACACTCATGCCCATCTTTAAAAGTCTTTTATTCATTCTAATTCTGCTAAACATATCAATGTTATTAAAATTGCTTTGTAAACAAAAACTGAATTTTTGTGTTCATACTATTTCCCTGAAAAGAATGTTCCCCTTGTTATTATCATCCCAAGTCTGTGATTTCTTTATGGCTCAGTTTAAATTCTCTTTAGTCTCGCTGTTGGGTCCTATTTCAGCTCTCTCTCTTGCAATATAGCTGTTAGCTAGTTAGGATTTATTGATGTGGTAGGCAATAAAAACAATGAAAAATCGATTCAAAATGTTAGAGAAATAAATTTAAAATTTTAATGTAACTGGAACTGGAGGGGGATGAGCTTACTAAAATTAAAATCTTGGTGAGATCAAATAGATACAATAATAAGAGATTCATATTTGAAGCTCAGGAAACAATTTATATTTAAAAAAAGAATTTTAGAGTTCCACAGAAAAGTGAGTTGAAGCAATGGTAGTTAATAGCTATACTAAAAATGGAGAAGATACATCTATAAAAAGATGAAAATAGAACTAAGAATCTTCAGTGAAATACAGTCTTTGAGTTCTCTGAGTGAAAAATACTCTGAAAGATTTAAGCAAAGAAGTGAGACGGCCTTGCTTATGTTTTAAAAGCATCATTTGCTATTGGTGTGGTAATTAGGTGAAAACAGTCTGTGGGAATATGATTTTTCAGAAATAGATTTCTAAAGAAGAAGGGAAGGAAGAAGAATGAGAAATAGCTATTAATGGTAGGTAGTGTGCGGATTTCATAATAGTCAAGGAAGGGAGGAAGAGTCACGGTGTGATAGAGTTGGGTGCACAGGAACGTAGAAGTCACTCTGTATTGCCTACCAACCAAAAATATATATTTAACTAAAAATTTTATCATTACATTTGTAAGGAAGTGTGCAGCAGTAAAGAAATAACTTTGTGTTAGAAGAATAAGAAATCTGAGTCTCTGTGCTAGCCTTGTTCTTCTTTGTTCCTAAGAACATAATCAATACATTTCACTTCTCTGGCTTTCAGAGAAATTGATTAAGATAATTATAAAAATCTTGTCACCTATATCGCATAGGGATATTGTGAAAGTTAAATAAAATAATACACCAAGTATGAACTGCCTTTTAAGCCATGAGGTAAATGATTCCCATTACTTCCTTGGTATAAAAACTTATGATGAATTTCTCAGGAAAAGAGCTTCCTCTCCCCTTATCTACTTCCAATATCCTCTTCTTTTCCTTTCCTTCTCATACCTCCCTCACTACCATTTTCTTGGGCCTTACTCTGAGGCTGTGGCAGAGAGATGAAGTGTGGCCGAATAGAAGCAGTAGTGGAGGTAACACCTGACGCATTCGTAGAGGTAGAGACTGAAAGGGAGATGGAAGCAGAAGTAGTCATTGGCCCTTGCTGGTACCAGGGTGCATGGCTGGGCCGTGTAACTCCTTGGAGCCAGAAAAGGAAAGGGCTCACTTGGCTGAAGACGTAGGGCTTTGTGCAATGTTCATCAAAGTTACTCAAGATTCCCACCTGCACCCATATGTCCTTTTGTTGCAGATGGCACACTAGAGGTGCCCCCAGGTCACCCTGCAAGAAACAAGGAGCAAAACATTCACAGATACTTTAAAGGAGGCTAGGAAGTAACTTCAGGTGTTCAATATTCATCTGTTTCTCTCTGAATTTTATACCCCCTCAACTTTTCACCTTACAGCCAGCCTCCCCCACAGCTTTCTTGGCTTCAACGCAGAAAGTGAATTCATTTAGCTTGGGCCAAAATTGGGCACAAGAGCTGACTTTCAGGATGCTTAGGTGCCTTTTCTGCAGAATTCCGGGACTTCCTGGTGAAAAACAGAAAATAAATTTTTTTTCTTTAGCCTATATTGGAGGAAGGAATATAGCTGAAGAGAAAGATAATAACCTATCTACTTTACATGAGAAAGGAAACCCTCTTTCTAAATGTGTCAGTCTTACCTCCTATCAGTGACTATTGTATTACTCACCCCTCATAAGGGACCAACTGGGTAGCCAGCAGTCATACAGTTGTATATTTTTCTCTTGCTCCAGGCTCTCCTCCAGGCAGATAGGAAGCACCAGTGGTTGAAAATGCAGTGGCTGCTTCAGGAAGATTAGCCCAGGTCCCAAAGGTCCCTTAGGGCCTACATACGGCATGGCGCGGTGAATGCCTACAGTCTGAGCTTGAGTAGGTTCCTGAAGATCAATAAGTCCCACCTGGACCAGGGCCAGGGCTTCTGAGTTTTTTCTGGTGGAGAGGAATTTATCAAACCTTTTGTTATTACATTATTTCAATGTGAAAAAGAACCTTGCACTTAACATGAATCACATGAAGTCCAGGTGAGCACTAAAGTACTACTCTAATTCCCTCTCTCCTTGTTGCCAACACACACTGTTTTATTAAGCACCACATGTGTGAAGATCTTCAGGTATGGTTAGATAAATATTACAATGCAATCCACATCCTTGTTAAAAAAAATAAAAAACACCTGACTTAAAACAAGTTGTTATACACCCTAACGTTTATTATGTTTAACTCTTAGTGATACTAAAGTTGAAATTTAGAAATTGAAATATCCCACTTGCAAGATGTGAGATTTTGGATAGTTACTCCCTCTTCCTGAGCTTTGTTTGTCTTGTCTGTAACTAATGGCTTTACTTCAGTATGTTAAAGTGAGAAATAGATTTTGGATAGTTACTCCCTCTTCCTGAGCTTTGTCTTGTCTGTACTAATGGCTTTACTTCAGTATGTTACAGTGAGAAATAAAATTATGTACCCAAAAGAAAATTTTAAGAGAGTCATAGTTATTATTCTTCTAGAGATTAATAAATGATTTTAAGAGACAAAGTTCTTCAAGTCATAAAATGTAAAATTGTGATTCTAATGTAGGTAATAATTTATATTGAGGATACTGTTCATCATTTTATAGGTAAAATTATATAAACATAAAATTTTAAATTGTATTAATTTAGATCCTGAGATTATCCCTAAAAAACAGCTAAAACACTAACTTGGATATACATGAAGCTATTAAGAGATAGAGAGCACACACTTTGTCTTTAGCTAAGGAAATATATCACATGATTACCAAAAGAAAGGAATACCAAATTTTATTTCTGTAGCTAAGAAAGACTATCTATCTTCTTAAAAAAAAATTTTTTAAAAAGATACCTATTAACAATCTCTAAGTTATACTTTATAATGATATAAAATTAACTTTCAAATGACACTCAGACTTACATGAAATTCGCACATCTAGCTGTGGTAAGGATCCACTGTTCATTCAGTATAGAACCAGCACAGAAATGAGAGAAAGAGAGTTGCAATGAAACCATCCAAGGGAATTCACCAACTTCTGCCTCCCAGCAGTTGGGACAATGAGGCACGAGGCCAGGGCGTAAGCCACACTCTGCAGAAGAAATCCACACATGGGATAAGATGAAGTTAGTGCTATTACCCTCTTTTCCCTGAACGTGTTGATTTCCTATTTTTAGATTTTAGGAAAATGTTTGTAAATCTTTAACTTTGGGGAAATGCTTGGAAATATCTTTTAATCCTACAAACGTAGCTAGAGTAACAAAGATCTGCCTACTCTGAGAATAATATGAGGTATCTCCATTCATTCCTCAAGTGGAATAATAAAGCATTTCTAAATACTAAAAGTGTTTTTCTAGTACAGTAAGCTGAAAGAAACTAGGTTTACAATACTTAGGTCTTAAACTCTTTCTGGCAAAAATGAGGTATTCTTCTCTCAATATGTGGACATATTTTAAGATTACATTATTCATCCCCCGCTTTTCTGATGCAGGTAATAATTTGAATTTTCACTCTACCAAAGTTTGAGAACATGACCTCTGAGTTAATCAGAAACTCTGATTTTAGGCTTCAAGACTTTGGTCCCAAGAATAACTAAACTAGATAACGAGGCTGAACTTACCTGTGGTTTCATGAGAAATAACAGCTGTCTTGAAGAGCCAGAAAGCCTGGAGACTCTCTTTCCAGACCAAACCCAGATGACACTCAGCCAAGGAAACATTGAGTTCTGAATTCTTGAGAGGCTCTTGTTCAGGCTGTTTAGACTTAGTTTCAAATTCAGATCCAGGCGTCTGATAAGGTTGCTTTGTTAAAAGTGTGATTGGAGCAGCACGCAGGGATGACAAACCATGAGAAAGAATGGTCTCCTCAGTAAATTTTGAGGTAGATAGTTTCTGGGGAGAATTATCAGAAGAGGCTAAGGTCAAAAGGACAGGAGAGAAGGCCGTAGGAGAAAGAATGGAGCAATAAGGGAAAATACAGGATGAAGGAAATGTGCAAGAAAAAAGCAACGAACAGGAAGGGGACAAAGTACATGCAGTTGGCAGAGAACAAGGAACGAGAAAGGAAAAAGATGGATAAAGAGTGCTAAGAAAATTAGGTGAGACATCAGGGCTTCCTTTTGTTTTGGTGATTTGTAAGTTACTGCTAAAGTTCAGATAATTGACTCTTCCAGGAAGCCAGGTGCTTGAAAGGGTAAGAAGGAGAATGTTTGTAAGCTCACTAGGTAGGAGAGAATGGATTTGATCTTGGCTTTCTGTTGCAGGTATCTCAGTTGACAAAGCTATTATAAAATACTGATCTGCGGAAAGGATACTTTCTGTTTGTAAAAAAGGTACACGTTCAGACCAGGAGCCAAATTGACTAGTTAATGGAGTTGCTCTATCTGGCTCAGCTTCAAGAGGAACAAATGATGAAATTATATCAGCTTTATAATGGCCGTCAGGCTTTATTTCTTTTTCATGTGGGATCCATGTTTTGACTTTGTCAGATTTATGTATAGTGGAGGATGCAATAATGTCAGTTTCAGGGTGGGCCCAGAGCCTGCCTTCTTGGGTTTCAGTCTGTATCCAAGACTTAACTATGCCAACTTCAGAGTAGATCCAAGGACTGAATACTTGAAATTCTGAATGGGTCCATGGTATGACTTTATTCATTTGAATATGGAACCAAGATCTGACTGTATCAGCTTCCATATTGACCCAGGGTTTGACTGCTTGGGTTTCAGGGTACAACCAAGGTTGATTTGTAACAGCTCCTTGCTGAGTCCAGGGGTGAACTACAGAAATGTCAGTCTGGGTCAAGAGACTGTCTGTCTGAGAGTCAGGTTGAATCCAGGGTCTAGTTGTATTACTTTGAGTCTGTAACAAAGGAGTAATTGTATCAACTTCAGATAAAGTTATAGGTTTTACTACTTGTCTTTCAGTCTGTGACCAAATATGGAGTGTTTCAGTTTCAGGCTGGGTACTGGGTCTAGCCGTATTAGCTTTCTGCAGATTCCAAGGTCTGACTGAATCTACTTGAGTCTGAAACCAATGTCTTATTACTGTATTAGTATCCACCTGGGTTGAGGGGTAGATTTTTAAAGTTTCAGCCAAGGTCCACGATCTGATTGCAGCAGCTTCAAGGTGGATCCAGGGTTGAATTGTAGCAGTTTCAAGTTTGGTCCAGGATCTGATTGAATTACTTTCATACTGAGTCCAAGGGATGATTATACCAACTTCATTTTGAGTCCAGGAACACGGCATTTGAGATTCAAATTGGTACTGGGGCCTAATTGTACCATTTTGCATTGGGTACCAAAATGTGACTGTATCCACTTCAGTCCAGGAACTGACAAATTGTAGTTCAGGCTGGGTCCATGATTTTTCATGATAGGTCCAGAGTCTGGCTGTGTTGCTTTCAGTTTGGGTCCAGAGTTGGGCTAAATCACCTTCAGGATGAATCCAAGATCTGACTGTATTAGCTTTGTGCTGGATCCAGGGGTGGGCTCTTTGCCATTTTGGTTGGATCCTGGGAGTAGCTATTTGAGATTGAGGTTGAGTGCCATGTCTTATTGCACCAAACTGAGTCTGGAACCAACATCTGACCATATTAATGTCGGTCACGGTCAAGGGTTTCGCTGCTTGCATTTCAGACTGGGGCAATAGTGTAAACATATTAGCTTCAGATTGTGTCCAGGGCCTCACTGTTTCAGATTCAGGCTGGGCCCAAGGTCTGAAAGTACTACTTTTAGGTTGAGTCCAGAGACTGATTATGCCAGCTTCATTTTTGATCCATGGTCTTACTATATCTGCTTCAGAAAAGGTCCAAGATCTCACTGTGTCTCCTTCAGACCAGTTCTCGGGATGAAATACACCCGTTTTTGTCTGAACCCATGATAAGATTGTGGCAGTCTCAGGTTGAGCCAAGAGATCCACTCTACCAGGTCCAAATTGAGTCAAGGTATTCACTGTTTGAGATTCTGATAGGTCCCAGGGTCTTATTCTTGTTGTTTCAGTTTTCAACCAAGATCTGCTAATATCAGCTTCAGAGTGGAGCCAGAGTCTGGCTGCTTGAGGCAAGGGCACTACCCAGGATATAAATGTTCCAAATTTAGACAAGGCCCATGAGTTGATATTATCAGTCTCAGGATGTGTCCAAAGAAGGGAAGCTTGATTCTCAACTGTAATCAAGGATCGAGTAGTATCAATATGCGGATGCAATAAAATACTAAATATACTAGGTTCAGGCATTCTCCAGGGTTGCTTAGACTCAGTTTTAATCATTGTCCACAATTTTGCTGTATCATTTAGATTCTGTGTGTATGAATTTACTGCTAGAGAATCAGACTGCATCCAGAATATGACTGAGGAAATTGTAGACTGTGTCCAGCTTACTAGTGGAGATTCAGTCTGAGGCTGTGGCATGACTGTGGCATCTACAGCCTCTGCCCAGGGATTCACTGCTGCAGTTGGGGTCCAGGGTATGTCTGTTTCAGCTACAGCCTCTGCCAAGGGATTAACTGCTGCAGATTCAGTCGGGGTCCAGGGTATGTCTGTTTCAGCTACAGCCTCTGCCAAGGGATTAACTGCTGCAGATTCAGTCGCTGTTTGAGATTCTGATAGGTCCCAGGGTCTTATTCTTGTTGTTTCAGTTTTCAACCAAGATCTGCTAATATCAGCTTCAGAGTGGAGCCAGAGTCTGGCTGCTTGAGGCAAGGGCACTACCCAGGATATAAATGTTCCAAATTTAGACAAGGCCCATGAGTTGATATTATCAGTCTCAGGATGTGTCCAAAGAAGGGAAGCTTGATTCTCAACTGTAATCAAGGATCGAGTAGTATCAATTTGCGGATACAATGAAATACTAAATATACTAGGTTCAGGCACTCTCCAGGGTTGCTTAGACTCAGCTTTAATCATTGTCCACAATGTGACTGTATCATTTAGACTCTGTATGTACGAATTTACTGCTAGAGAATCAGACTGCATCCAGAATATGACTGAGGAAACTGTAGACTGTATCCAACTTACTAGTGGAGATTCAGTCTGAGGCTGTGGTATGACTGTGGCATCTATAGCCTCTGCCCAGGGATTCACTGCTGCAGATTCAGTTGGGGTCCAGGGTATGTCTGTTTCAGCTACAACGTCTGCCCAGGGATTCACGGCTGCAGATCCAGTTGGGGTCCAGGGTATGTCTGTTTCAGCCACAACGTCTGCCCAGGGATTCACTGCTGCAGATTCAGTCAGGGTCCAGGGTATGACTGTGGCAGTTGCAGTCTCTGACCAGGGATTCACTGATGGGAAGTCAGTCAGGGTCCAGGGTATGACTGTGGCAGTTGCAGTCTCTGACCAGGGATTCACTGATGGGAAGTCAGTCAGGGTCCAGGGTATGTCTGTTTCAGCCACAACCTCTGTCCAGAGATTCATTGCTGGAGATTCAGTCTGGGTCCACGGTGTAACTGTTGCCGCTGTAGCCTCTGCCCAGGGATTCACAGATAGAGAGTCAGTATTGGTGCACTGTGTTATTATGTCTTTCAAAGGATTTGTCTCAGTCTTTAATTCTGGAATTTCAGTACAAGGTGTGACCATGTCAGATACAGTCTGTGCCCATCCATCTATTGCTGGAGGTTTAGTTTGAGTCCACTGTATAACACTCTCAGATACAGGCTGTATCCAGGGTGTTACAGCTGCAGAATCAGCCGGAGTCCACAGTATGTCTACATCGGCTATGGATTGTGTCCATGGATTCACTGCTGGAGATTCATCCTGACTCCATAGTGTGACCAAGGAAGCTGCAGCCTCAGTCCAGGTTTTTCCTAAAGATTCTGCTTGAGTCCATGCTGTGACTGTACCACTCTCAGCCTCTGTCCAGGTACTTATCGCTGGAGATTCAATCTGAGACCATGGCGGAATTGTGTCCACAACAGGTTGTATTGAGGAATTTATTCCTAAGATCTCTGCCTGGGACCAAGTTGTGACTGTATTCACTTCAGATTGTGCCCAAGGACTTACTTCTGGATTTCCTCTCTCAGTCCATGTTGACATACTCTCAGTTTCAGGCTGTCTCCAGGAATTTAGTGCTAAAGACTCTGTTGGGGTCCATGTTATGACTGCATCATTTTCAGACTTTTTCCAGGAATATAATAAAGGAGACTCAGCCTGAAGATACAGTGTGGCTGTATCATCTATAGCCTGTGTCCATGAATTCATTGCTGGAGATTCAGCTTGGGTCCACTGTGTTATTGTCCCAGCTATAATGCCTGTCCAAGGAATTACTGCAGAAGACTCACCGTGGGTCCATGGTGTGATTACATCAGCTTTAGACTGTGTCCAAGGACTTATTGCTAGGGATTCAACTTGGCTTTGTGGTATGGCTGTATCACTTTCAAACTGTATCCAGGGATTTACTACTGGAGATTCAAACTGGGTCAATGTTGTCACTATGTCAGCTATAGTTTTTGTCCAGGGATTTATTTCTGAAGTTTTACCCTGGGCCCACAATGTGACTGTATCAGCTACAGGCTGTGTCCAGGGATTTATTGCTATAGATATAGCCTGAGTCCTCTGTATTACTGTATCAGATGCAGGATGTGCCAAGAGCTTTTGTCCTGGAAATTCAGTCTTTGCCCACGTTGTGACAGGTTTAGTTAACAACTGTCTCCAATAATTTACAGCTGGAGTTTCACTCTGGATCGATGGTGTGACTGTTTCAGTTTCTGACTGTGTCCAGGGATTTACTTCTAGAGATTCAGCCTGAGTCGATGGTATTAAAGTATCTGCATCATTTTGTGCCCCAGTGTTGATCATACCAATATCTGGCTGAATCCAGGGTCTTACTGGGTCAGCTTCATACTGTGTCCAGAGCCTAACATTATTGCCTTCTTGTTCATCCCAGAGTCTGACTGTGTTAGCATCACGCTGTACCCAGGCTTTTACCTTATCATCCACAGGTTGGTTCCAGGGACTGTCTCTTTCCATTTCAGACCGTATCCAGTGATGTGCTGTTTTCATTACTGGTTCTGTCCACAGTATGACCGTCTCCATTTGTGTGTGGAACCAAAGTTTGACATTATCAGTCTCAGACTGAGTCCTAGGTCTGGCTATATCACCTTCAGGTTGGGTCCAGGAGTGGGCTCTTTGAAATTCTGTTTCAGTCCAAGGTTTGAATGTATCCACTTGAGGATGCAACCAAGATCTGACTATATTAGCTTCAGGCTCAAACCAGGACATGTCTGTCTGAGAGTCAATTTGGCTCCAGGTTCTGATCTTATCAGTTCGTGTCTGCAACCAATGTCTGACTGCATCAGTTTCAGGGCTTGTCCAGTGTAGGTCTATATCAACCTTAGATTGTGTCCAGAAACTAAATGTAGATGATTCAGGCTTTGCCCATGATTGGATGCCACCACCTTCAGACTGAATCCATGGTTTGACCATGTTAACATCATTCTGAATCCAGGGATGCCGTGTTTTAAGGTCTGGCTTGGTCCTCGGTATCATTTGATCAGATTTAGTCCAGAACCAAGATCTGGCTTTATCAGCTTCAGGCTGTTTCCAGGGTCTGATTGTTTCAATTTCGCTGGAGGACCAAGATCTAATTGTATTTGCTTCTCGTTGGGTCCAATGTTTGCCTTTTTCTTCTTTAGTTCTAGGTCTGACTATTTGAATTTTAGGCTGAATCCAGGGTATGATTATTTCAGTCTTGGTCTGTAACCATGGTCTGATTGTATCAGCTTTCAGCTGAGAAAAAGGTCTTTCTGCTTGGGTTTCTGACTGAGTACAGGTTTGGACTATGTCAGCTTCAGACTGAGTTCGGGATCTGATCATATCAACTTTAGAGTGAATTAAAGGCTTCATTAGATTAGTAATAGGATTGAACAAGAGCCAAGATGTATATTCAGTCTTCATCTGGGGTTTGATTGTAATAGTATCATGTTTGCTCAACATGATACTATACATTTGACTTGAGGGTCTGATTACACTTGCCTTATACTGGGCCCAAGACATAACAGAACTTCCTGTAGATGGCGCCAAAGAAAAGGGCATATTAAACTCTGAGTAAGTCCAAAGTTGAGTTGACTTAGGTTCGGGGAGAATCCAGTATTCATTTGTCTTTTCAATAGGCTCTTGAAATCCAACTATATTTGGACCTGGCTGGAACCAAGGTTCCAAGGTATGGGTTACTGTTGGATATTGGTATCTATTTGCATTTAGTGTGGAATGAGTCTTGAATTCAATTTCATTATCTATTAAAGGGACCCATGGATATTGGTTATAGGTTACAGGTTTAACAACAGAGTTAACTTTACCAGCTACATAGTGTATTTGGGTTCTAACATTCTCTTCACTAGATTGAACCTGCATCACTGTTCCTGTTTTTTCTAGCACACTATGTGTCCAAGGTCCAACATCAGGGGTGATTTCTAGCCAGGGTCTAGCTAGAAGTTGACCATCAAAAGGAATCTTAGTAGCTTGCACTTGAGACTGGACAGTAGTAATCTCAGAAGGAATCTGGGATCCACCTATGTCACTTGAAAACAGAACCCAGGTTTCATCAGCATTAACTAGTGGTAGAGTATGAAGGCCAATTATACTGACTGATTGTTTAACCCAAGATCTTACTGACTCAGTCATAGTTCTATGTTGATGTTTCACTGCATCTTTCTGAGGAAGGTCCCAGGGTATAGGTATACCAGTTGTTGGACGATTCTGGGGGTCAGAAAGACCCAAAGGTTCAGAAATATCAGCTCTTGGGGTACTCCAGGGATCAGCTATCACAGAAGGATCCCATGGTTTGGCAATAGGAAAGGTCCAAGATTTAACCACTGGTGATTTGCTAGCTGAGTATTGCTGACTATGTTGAAGGTGTAAGTGTCTACTGCCAGGGAAAGAATCTCTATTATTTGAGCCAAAAAATACTGGAGGACGATTCCGGCGCTGTCTCTTTAGTGGCAAAGTGTCTAATCTCCTATATGATTGTATAGTCAATCCATGGGAAGTCAAAATGGCAGAGTCTCTGTTCAGGCTAAGCCTGTTTTGTGGACTATGTTCTACCCTGGGAGAAAAACTGCAGGGTAGGGAAAAAATAGGATCCAGCAGCTTCTGGGATGCCTCAATAAGCCATCTCATCCAAGATAGGTATGGGGCCATCTTGATGACAAGAATAGGATCATAACAGGCCATTGAGGACTCACTGACCAAGCCTACCAGCTCCCAATGGTTGCTAAAGAGACAGAGAACAGGACTGCCCTGCTGTACCTGAATGAGGAAACAGAGAATTCATATATATGATATAGATAGATAGACATATGTAGGATGCATATATTAAAATATGTCACATATATCAATTGCATATAAATATCTAATACATTTATGAATCATAAACTATATGAATGCATATTTACATATTTATTAAAACATTTATATATTACATATATACTAATATTTTTAACATTAAACATATAAGATTCATATATTTTTCTACCACATACAATTCCATGTGACAAGGCAAAAGAGTAATAAATGTTATATGGTACATACTTCAAGGAGCTCTAGAAGCTGACTTAGGTACAAATAATTGAAAGAGGAAAACCAAATGCTAAGTGGGGAATTTAGAGAAAACTCTAAAATAATAAATTAGATATTCAACATCTTTTTTTACAAATTTCTTAGCTGGCTATTTCTAGGCAGAGCACAACTAATACAATTATATGTATTGGTTGTGTTTATCTCTATCATTTCCACTGCCATTGCTGTGCTTCAAATCATTGTCCTTTTTTTCTCCCATCATACTCTTGTTTTCAAGCCATTACCATTTCTGTTTCCCTGTCACACCCACCCTTATTTTATGGTTTGTTCTTCCAGGAGGCCGAATGATATTGAGAATAAAAGCCAAAGGCTTCATTAGTCTCTGAACTCAACTATAGACAGTTTTCATTTGCTCATTTGCTACCATTATACTTGCTTTATTCTAGTATTAGAAATTTTCTAATAGCTTCTTTTGCCTGGGATTTTCTTTCTTCAAAAATTCATGGTAAGTTGATTACTCAAAAGCTTTAGGCCTTTGCTGAAATAAAAGTCTTTTAAAAGGCCTTCTGTGCTGCTCCTATTCTGATGGCACATTTTCTACATCTATCACTAATTATTTTCTTGGAAGTTACTTTTACCAGTCACATTTTATTTTTTTATTTGTTGCCCGTAACTTGTAAGCATCATAAGGGTAGGACAATTATATACCTTTTAAACTCTCAAATCTCAGCACACCAAACCAGGTTTAGGCACTCAGTGAGTAATGAGTATATGATTCCTAATTGTTCTGCTTTGCATGACAGAGTTATAATGATGAAATAAATGTGAAGAGTACAAAGGTTATTTAACAGACTATTAAATAGATTCCTGAATAAATCTGATGTCTTTCATTTATTATTCTGTGGCCCCCACTGCTTAAGTAATCAAGTCCATATATCATTACTTTATAATGTAGTCCCAACTTATTTTTCTACTCCCATTTCTTCTGTATCTCTCATACCAACATTTTCTCCAAAAGTTTTACTGCTCAAATATTATCTATGCATTAGATGTTCTTCCTTTAATTACATAGTGCATCTCTGTAGTTAAGAGCTCCTTTGCTTTCAAACTTTTAAGCATCACCTTCCTCTGGTCAGTATGAAGATAAAATTGACCCTGTCTACATTGTGCCTCTATTATTCACTATACAGATGTCTATAATACTGACAAAATTATATTGCAGTTAATTATTATATTATGTGGTACTTTAAATTTATCTCCTATCAAATCATAAGCTCCCAGATGACTGAATACACGCTGGGATTTTCTGAGTTGGGACCAAGTCTGTTTTTTCCCCATACAGTGTCAGATTTGTATCCCCTATTTGTACGGTTAATTTGTCTTCCTTAATTTCAAGTTTCTTAAATATTGATTTCAAGGCTCTTTCTTCTCTTAGTCCTTTAGACTTCACAAAGTCCTGGCAATTTGTTTAATGAAAGAAATATTAATGTAATCTCATGTTTCTCCTCCTTCAGGAATTCTAATCTCTGCCATACCAGCAAATTTCAAATGGCCTTTTTCATTTTTACTTTTTTCTTTTTGCCTTAAGTTTCTGTCCAGCCCTTTTTTTTTCTTAAACTCTATCTTATAAAATAATTATTCTCTCTAAAATGTACTAAATTATCTCCTAGGTTGAGGGTTAGACAAAAGACCATATCCTTAAAAAATAATTAGTTATTAGCAGATATTCGTTTTTCATTTTGTTATTTCTGTAACCTCAGGACAAATAGATAATGATTATAACTCATAAGTGTAGACTTTTATTTTTCATAAATACTCAGTTGATGTTTGCTAAATTAAATTGTTTGTATTCTAACAACCAAACCCAATCCAAGAATTGTAACCTCATGTTCTTCCCATTGTTTCAAAGATATCTGTGGTAAGTTCTCTATCCCTAAATTTTCTCAATAAAAATATTTCTTGCTTTATTTATTTGTGATGTTATGTTTTATATAATCATGATCTACATTTATATATATGTATATAGAAGATCATATGATTATATAATAACCATAAACATTACATCTGTGCATTACATGTGGAAACACTTAATATGATATTTGCCTTTAAAAATTTTTAAGCATACAGTACAAGACTGTTAACTGCATATACTATGATGTACAATATCTCCAGAACTTATTTATCTTGTATAAATGAAAGTTTATATTCATTTCATAGAATTTCACAAATAGTTTTACATCACCCCCAGTGGTAACTTTGCCTTATATAGTTAGTACCCAGCATTCTTCTTGTGCTTGACTCCAGATGCATAGATTGTTCCTTTCAGTCAGGTGGAGATGTTGTTTTTGGCAGAATGAGAGGTCCAGCAGCTTAACTGACAGCTTCTTAATACTGGTCCCCAAAATATTGCTGTCTGAAAGAATATAGTACAGATATGAGTTATTAAGTCTCTTAAGCATTTTATAGCATAGCTTCCTAAGATTTTTACACTATAGCTTTCCATCATTTAATTATATAGAATTTCTGAGCTATCCAGACTTCTCCCTTTCTTCCATTTTTTCTCTTATACACTATTTTTGAGCTGTACCCAAATCCTTTTTAAATGGAATAATAAAACACAATAATTGTAACCCATGATATTGTCACTTCACTTCCTTAAGGACTAAGTCTTTACCCCTGTAAAATGGAGTAATATGGATATAATTATTTTTATAAAACTTTAAGCTCTTTCTTTTCTCATCATTCTTTTAATATTAATGTCTGAGCTATGATATAGAGAATATGACTTCTGTGGCTTACTCTGATATTGGTATACCCTGCAGTGTCTGTACTGGCAATTATAACAACTCTTCCAGAAGATGTTATAAGTGGGTGAAAGTGGCATTTCTTCTCTCCTGATAGGGTATTGCAGGAGGACCACTCCTATGTTTCCTTTCACTTGATCTGTTCCAAGTTGTGGAGCAAACCCAGGGTGCAGACATAGTTTGTGGTCAAATAAGGTATCTTCTTGGTTAATGATTCCTGAAATTTCAGAGTGCAAATGCTTCCTAAGGGAATAGGAAAAATGAAGAATAATGTTATAAACTTAGAGTGAGAAAACATTTCATTGAACTTCCATTCAACCTGAAATGTTTAAATTGGTAAGGCCCTTACATGCTTAGCAGTGTAATCTGACAACTTTGTACTTTCTATCCATGTAAATTAATGTTTTATCTTACAAATTAAATAGAATTTGACTTTTAGAGCTTTAAGCTTCATTTGTAATACAATAGTTTCTGAAGAAAAGTCTATTTAATGTATCAAAATCCAAGGCAAATAGTTAATTATAATGAATCAAATATAAAAAGTATATATAACTATATCATCTGTCTCATGGCCCTCACTATACTTACAGTTTAATCAGACAGCTGGCTGTTGAGAGGATCCACCATTGATTCAGAACAATGCCCTGACAGGTTTCAGGCATGGGCACTAGCCATGGGATGTTGTTGGACACTGACAATGAGGTCATCCTTGGGGTCAATGAGTTTAACCACTGCTTTTGAGAACTGGGTGCTAAAAGGGTCAGATAGGGAGGGGAAGAAGTAAACATTACATGAAAAATAACATAATGTTGAATGGTTAATAATATATTTGTTATTCTACTTTTCTGTATAATGAAGAGGAGACTATAGAGAAGAATGAGAAGGAATATTTAAAAGGTGACAAAAATACAAGATTATGTGATATAGAATCAAGAACATCTTCCCTATTACTAACATAAACAAGAGGAGAAAAAAATCTAAAGCGTCTGTAACTTACCACCACAGCAGTGAAAAAACAATCCCCCAAAATGATAGAAGCAAAGTACAGCTCTCATGTTGCTTCAACTGGATGTGAAAACAAGACAGAGTTCTAGTAGAGTAGTTACCAAGGTTGAGATTGAAATTACAGGTATTAGAATGTCTGACATCATAATAACTGCTTGTGAGAAAACTACCTGCTTTCTATTATGATCAACCACTAGAAAGTTATAGATAAGAAATTTAGCCAACTTAAATGCAATTTAAAAATTAAAATAAAATTTAGCTCAATATTAACTTTTATTTTTGGAGTGGGAAAACCAATATCCTAGACCCACACTTTGTAAAAAAAAAAAAAAAAGGTGATGTATTTGGTAATATCATGTAGTTTTAATTACCTGTCACATACACTTACTAATTAAAAGAATTAGATAGGCTACATGACCTGACAAGTTAAGAAAATACTGATTGATAATAGTTTAAAATAATTTATAGATCAATTTATGATAGATAAAGATACCATATTTCAGTTATACATTTATTCACATCTCCAAACCTACTCACCACTGTCAACTCAGAAATAATTATGCTGTAAATTTGTAGACAATTATCTCAAGATCTAATTTCACTTCTCTCTGATGGCAATCTAGAGCAAAAAGCAACAATTAAACAAGTATTCACCAAACTTTTCATATGAACCAAATGTTTAACACATAAATGTGAGAAAAAGAGGTCTTTGTCCTCTTATACTTTTCAATTTAGGGTAGAACTAATTAGTTAAGGTTAGCATCTGCTGAACAGTATAGAAAATATAAAATCAATTATATAAAAATAAACATATTTCACATGGTTTTATGATTTTATCATAGATCTCAGCTCATTCTATCACACTGCTTAGCAATTGTAGTGCTTGACTTTTATTCTCACATGACTGAAAGATGCCTTCTCTGTACCGATCTTCATGTCCTTGTTCTAGATACTTGTCTTATATAAATTTTCATGGCCACCCCATCGCTTTTTTCTCATCCTTTTCATTTACTCTGTGAGCTGCACTATAATTAGTCAAGCTTTACAATAACATTTTAAAATTATACGTTTGTAAAAACGATATTTGTTTACTAATAAATACTCAAAATTAGAGAAGCGCAAAATGATTACAATGAATGGAAATATTGTAAAAGCTATTAAACGAATGTTTGAATTGTTTAAAGGATGAGTAGGAACTAAGCAAACAAAATAAAAATAGAGTTCCTACTCTTTGAATAACTCTTTTGAGGCCTATATGAAGAAATAAAGGTATGTGGTATCCCAAATCTTATAAATGAACAACAAAAATATTTTTAAGAAATTAAAATGGGCAAAGGACCTAAGTAGATATTTCTCCACTGAAGATATATTAAAAGATGCTCAACCCCAGTAATCATTAGAGAAATGTAGATACAAACTACAATGGATACCACCTCAGATCCATCAAAATGGCTACTTTTGGGTAAAACACACACACACACACACACACACACACACATTCAGAAACTAATGAGTGTTGGTGAGGATGTGGAGAAATTAGAATTTTTGTGCACCTTTGAGAATGTACAATGATATAGCCACTGCAGAATACAATATGGAAATTCCCCCAAAATTAAAAACATAATTACCTATGATCCAGCAATTCTTCAATTCTGGGTATTCACCCAAAAGAATTAAAGCAGGAGGTTGAAGAGAGATCTGTACGCCTACTTCATAACAGCATTATTCACAATAACTAAATCATGGAAGCAATCTAAGTGTTCATTGACCAATAAATGGGTAAACAAACACGGTAAGTACATACAATGCAATATTACTTAGCATTAAAAAGAAAGAAATTCTGGAATATGCTACAGAATGCATAACACTTGAGGACAATAAGACAGTCACAAAAAAACAAATATTATATGATTCAACTTTCACATTTAGTATTTAGTCAAAATCATTAATACAGAAAGTGTAACAGTAGTAGTGTAACAGGGCCTGACAGGAGGGGAAAATAGGATGTTATTGTCAATTGGTATAGAGTTTCAGTTTTATAAGACAACACTAGTCATTGAGTTGTCTGGTGGTGAAAATAGTTATGAGGATGAATTGTTATAAAACAATGTGAATGCATTTAATACCACTAAACTGTACACTTAAAAATAGTTAAGATGATACAATTTTATGTTATATGTATTTTGGCCAAAATTTAAAAAAAAGAAAAGGAAGAAAAATGAGTTCTGAAGATTAATGTAAGCATTGTGACTACAATTAATAATACTGTATTCTATACTTAAAATGTGCTAAGAGGGTAGATCTTGAGCATTCTTAACATACATTTAAAGAACAAATGAAAACATTTGTGAGGTATTGGGTATGTTAATTAGCTTGATTAATGTGGTAATCATTTCACTATACATATATTATATCAAAACATCAAATTGTACACATTAAGTATATACAACTATTATTTGTCAATTATACCTCAATGAAGTTGAAAAAATCTATGTTTATACAAAAAAATATATATATCCAACTCATTGGACCCAGTCTCAGGTCAAGAAATCTCAGACTGTTTGAAGACATCAAGATACATCTCAAGGTAGCATATCAGATGGCCCCTGGCCCACATGTCATCTGCAACACTCCTCAGGATTTCCTGAGCTTAATTTGGTTACCCCAAAAGTAGATTTAGGGTCCTCCTAGCTGAATCTCAATCTCCTGCAGTGACTTTGAGTTACTTGAGGTGTTTCTAGGATCCCTGATATGTTGTCTGTGAAAGCCTGTTCTCTTGAATTGTGCCTGCAGTGTATGAATTGCCTTAGGGCACACTAAGTTGGGTATGGGCAGTTTGTGCTGAGGTTGAAGATCCAGGACTAGGTCTAGCATAAATTAAAGGAGGTTTTGGTTTCCAGAAGTGAGTCTGAAGTAACCTGAGACCCAGATAATACAAATTGTAGCATAGCATACATATCAGAATTCCCAGACTTAAGTAAGATTACCTGCATTCAGTTTTAGGAATCCAGACTCAGCTTAGGGATTCTCAGGAAATACACCTGGAAAATAGAAACATACCATATGTTCACAGAGTAAAACACCGGGAACCCATAATCCACTTTATGGAATCAAGGTATTCTCAAGATACTGAGATTCATTAAGGAGATATTCATTAAATTTAGGGATTCCTAGAGTTTTTTAAGTATTCTAAACCTCCTCTTGAGTCCCCAGACCCACATCCGGTGTATAGATTAAATTCATATATCCCCAGACATCAACCTATGAGTTTTTTATACTTATACCATCAAATCTAAGACCTACATCAATAGACTCAGACTCATTTCAAACAGACCCAGATATAGCTCATACTCTATCTGCAAAACCCAAACTTAATTCAGGAAATCCCATACCATTTCATAGGCACCAAACTTAGTATATACGTATTTCCAGAAAGTACTTCAGAAGACCCAGACATACCTCAGAGACCCCACAGATTATCAACCAACCCTAACCATCCGCATGTGTGCACACTTACAGCAGGCTTTCACAGATATTATATTAAATACTTTAGTTGATCCAAATTCAGCTCAAAACATTCAGACCCACCTTCAGAAAATCTAGCCCTGATTCTAGAGAGATAGTTTCAATTTAGATGATCCAGAGCCACCTCAGAGTTATCAGAACAATCTAGGCAGACCACGAATGAATTTTATAGTAACTTGGTTCAGCTCTTGAGACCTCGGAAACACACTGAAGAAAACAAATGCATCTGAGAGTATCACAGAGCAATCTTAGGTGACCCAGATTCATTGCAGACTCCTTTTATTTACCTCAGGGGACCCTAAACCTACTTCATAAGACCAAAGTTTAACTTAGGCACCTCAAAAAAGTACCTGGTGGCCTCAACCACTCTTAGAAGAACCCAGACCCACATTATGGGTTCAAGGCTTGGTTCATAGGATATATATACACGCCACTCAAGTATGCCCACACACAGTTCAGGTGACCAACAATGAGACTGGAACCTAAACTGTCTTCAGGAATCCATATGAAGCTTAGTAAACAACAGGCCCACCATAGAAGACCCTACAATGATCTTGGCACCCAACTCTGCTCAGGCATCGCAGGGTAAACTGTGTCTGCTTTCTGATAAAAGGCAGCCTCCTTGTCCACTGCACAGAGCATATTTATAGGGAACCTAAGGCTAAATCATTCAAAGATAACCTGCCTCTATGTCAGGGTCACTTACTAGCAGAGAAACTACTTCCCTGCAATCTGTTGAAAGTCAGCCCTCAAGGCAAACAGAAAAGGCCCTGTCAAGTTTTGTTAAGTTCCCAAGTGCTGTCAAATTACATGGAAACAACAGCTAGGTACATTAATCTCTAATTAAACCAGTTTCTTATGAGTCCTCACAGGTTCCTCCAGAAAATAAACCAGAAAGTGCAATCTATTCCTGTGAACCCATGGAAGATCTTAAGCTCTTGTTCTGGAAACTAGGTAAGTCCACAAGTCTCAGGGGATCAGGGAACTTTTGTGTACTTTGAATTAACAAACTGCCATGAAAAAGTAACTTCATTGTCAATTACCTCTACTATTAATTTTGTCTTGTCTTTTCTATCTTTTTGCTAAGTTTATATCTTCTAGGTTACAAGGCTTCCTACCACCTCTACAGGCTGGAACAACCTCATGCTGTTTTCCTCATGGGCCCTTAGAATAGGCTTTCAGTGATTTTTATTCCCAGTAGGCAGGGACTACCGTCCTATCTCAGCTTTGAGGAAATTAGAGAAGACAGACC